TTTTTAAGTTTCCTTGTCATTTTGTCCATTTCAACCATAAAGAGTAATTTTTTTATCCATTCTCCAACTTCTAAAACTTTATCCTGTTTCCAATATTGAGCATACGTTACTAGACTGCCTTCTGTGATCAGTTGGCAAACCCTTAAAGATTTAGCTAAGCCAAAATGCATTTTCCACTGTTTTTATGGATGTTACATTTTCTAGCACACTCTGGGCTACTCCTTTACGTGGTGAAACAACTGCTCATGTCATTTCTCATTGCATTGCTACTTTTGCAGCCTTGGGTCGTACAGCCAGGCTGAAAACTGATAACGCTCCTGCCTACACTTCTTTAGCCTTTCAGCAATTTTGTACTCGTTACTCTCTCTCATGCTATTAGACAAACATTTAAAAGGGATGAAAGGTGGCCACATACCACACATACCAACTCTGGCTGCCAACTCTGGCCTGGTACAAAATTAGGCCTGGATTTTACAGCAGGTCCATTCATTTTTGTGCATTTTTTTTTACTTATAATCATTGAATTTTTTCTCAGCTCCTGTCCCTGGAGCTGTCTCTTTGTTTTCTATCAGGCCCTGCCTGACCGCACTGGTTAGGCCTGGTGCCAGGCTAACAAGGGGGGCTAGGGTTTTTGTTTCTGTCTTAACCTCTGCAGATCCCAGCCAAGCGTGTTCATGTAGCTCATGGCGTGTCGTGCAATAGCCAAGAATTCCTTACCAGAGATGGCCAAGGTCAGCCTGCAAGAAGTGCAATGCCTGTTCCAGCCTCTTGTGAGCCAAGGCCTCCTAACTCACTGCGAAGCTCCGCTGACACGGGGAGCCAACTTTTCTTTTTGCATCATGTACTGTATCTGTGTATGCCTTTTGAACATTTTGAACACTTTGCGTTTGAACACTTTGAACAAACTGCTATTCCTCATGCCAATTATACCTGTGACTATCTGGCTATTCCTCATGCCAATGAACTTTTACCAGTGTGAACTACAAACCACAACTGATGGAACCCTCCATCAGATGCCATGGAACATCCTGTGGTCATGACTATCTGGGGGGTTGGCTTGAAAAATGTATTCAATATCTTGTAATAATTGTTTTATGACTTCATGTTTTATGTCTCATTGTCATATTTTTCATATAATTCATATTTCAATTTTTGTGCTTGCTATACAACTTCTGAAACTACTGTACTTTTTAACTTAGCACACAAAACAAAAGGCAATTCAATTGTCACAAAATTCACAACTACTGAAACCTGCAAACCCTTGATCTAGAAACATTTAATTTCACCTTGCAAACTCCAGCTCAATACTTCTGGAGTGATCTAGTTTGGACCAATTCCAATGATGGTTTGTTTCGCTTAATAGCTGTCACTTTATCATGAAGTACATCTTTTTATTCCAAAAATCCCTGGCTCTGATGACTGGTGGAACTGGGTTCTGTGTTAGCCTCCTCATGGTGTCATTTTTAATTGTGCCCATTGGGGGGGTGTTGCCTTCTTTAAAAGAACGTATGACATTTAACATATGGGAGCGTCTTGCTAATATTTCTAATGTTACACATTTCTGTTTAACCAATTCTCTTTCAGCTGGTGAATTGCTGGGTACCTGTATGATCCCAGTGTGTAAGCAACCTGCATATATAACTAAAGAGACTATGTTCTATGGGTTTCCTAATGTTGCTGTAGGTTATAAAACCATAGCAAGGTGGGGCCCAGTTAGCAAGATTTTACCTGCATCTGCAATCTCTCTTCACACTCCATATATAGCTAGTGGCGGCAATACGACCTGCGCACGCATTATTAATTGTGAGAAACGCGCTCAGCGGTGTTCTAACATAGGCCCTGACATACTAAAATGTCCCCACATCACTAAAAAGTGTCTTTCAATTATGCACATATCATTTTACCTACTGGATGGTTCTTTACCTGTGGCAGTCGCACTTTTAATTATATTCCTGCCAATATTAGTGACATCACTTGTTGCCTCAGTCAGCTTGCTATTCTTCTGCCACAAGCACAATCTCGCACTCAGAGTTCTGTTTCCCTCCATCATGATTGTAATTCTAAAGTAAGCTTGCTGAGTAAAGCTGAAAAATGTTTCTTTAGCGGCTTCCCTTAATTGGGGTTCCTGGACTGGCATTAAGTAATGCTACTATATTAGCTGAACTAGTATGTTATGTTGTCAAAACAATTAATGCACTCCTTAAATCTGTAGAACAGGAACTACGAGAAGCTATCCTGAATAATATAGAGCTGTCATTGATTTTTGCTTTTTAAACATCATTATGGCTGTTCTTCTTTAAAAATATGTGTTGCTTTAATCTAACTAATAATGGTCAGAGCATTGAGCATCGTCTGGCAGAGCTTGAAAATCTCACTGGCTATATTCAGCAAGATGTGGGATTTGACGGTCTCTGGGATTGGTTCAAAGGCTGGCTTCCTAATTTGGGATGGTTCCAGCAAATGCTTGTCTATGGGGTGACCGGCTTCATAATGTTGCTTTTAATATGTTGCTTTCTGCAATGCATTCCGTCTTTATTTCAAATCTTCAGATCTCTTTGTCGCCCTCCAAAGCAGGCTTACCCACTCAAGGTGGCTGTAACCTGGCCTTATGCTGACTCAGCTGACTCAGAGAGTGAATGGCCTATGGGCCTAGAGGATGGCATTCCTCTCTTACCTGCACATTAATTAAAATAAAAAAAGGGTGGCATGTGGGGTCAGAACGGAAATCCTGGAGGCATGCCCGGGGTCAAAGTTCAGGCTTCCCAGGTCAGAGTTTGAATTTCCACAGAGATAATACTCTGCCGGGAGAATTGGCAAGCAGGAAACAAGTTTGCTGCATTTGCATGAGGCTGCTAAATTCCTCTTAGAACACAATGAATTGCTGGGAGCGAATGAGTTCTGCAACATCCAAGGATAAATCTTGCCTGTGTAAAGAACATTGTGTATTCTTAACATAGAAAGCTTGATAATGTAACACTGTACAAATGTATGAGCTTGCTTTTCTTTCTGTTAATAAAAACACTGCTGTGACACAGCCTGTCAGATGAACAGGGAGAGTTGGAACAAAGAGACAAGGGACAGAGCTGATCCGCAGCTTAAAGAAATCATTGTGCTGTTTGATTCTTGAACCTTACAAAAGTCTACAGTTTGTATCAGGAAAAAAAATGAACTTAGGCTGTCATCAATGTGGGGGGGGGAAAGAAACAAAATGTGTGTGTGTGTGTAAAAACTGTAGCTACAAAACACAGTCTGTGGGAGTCTTTTGCAGGTAGTCCAAGCTAGAATTACCCAATACTAAATAAGCTAAAGAGGAATCTGGGAGTGTGGTGCAATGGTTAGAGTGCTGGATTGCAACAATGGGAGATCCATGTTCCAAGTTCCCACTCAGTCATAAAGCTTGCCTGAGGACCATGGACAGAGCTTGAAAGAGAAGGACCAGCTGCAAAACAAGGTTGTGAGGCTAAAAAGAGGAGGAAAGGATGAGGTAGCAGCCCCTGAGCTGCTCAGAGCCAAAGAGTTATATAAAAATAAACAGTCCATGAACCCAGAACCACTGTTAGTCAGCTCTGCCAACCTCTGGTGAATAAGGGAGAAGGGGGGAAACCTAAATCAGGATTCTGTATTCCCAGACAAACAAATCTCCTATCTCTGTTTTTCAGTGTCTTTTTGGACTCTCGTCAGTGCCATAAAACGCAGGACTTTTATGACAATTAATTCTGTAAGCCTTGAAACTGAAACACTCCAGAGAAGATAAAAAAGGGTGTACGAAGAGCTGTGCATTAACTCTGGGGAGAAATTATTTGTCAGTCAGAATAAAGATTCTCCATAAGGTAAGAGGAGCTTTTGTGTGTGTGTGTTTGTGTGGCCTGCACATCATTTGGGGGGCTGGAGCGAAGAATTGGCTCTTGGCCCATTTCAGCTTTCTATTTCTATAAAACAGTCTGGAGCACTAAAAATCACTCAGGCTTTCGTGTCAGCGCAATTAAAACATTTCGATTTGTTCGCCATGAGAACACCCTTCAAGAGACCGAGCCCCTGTTGCCCCAACGTCTACTAGCCCGGTGCGGGGGGGGGGGTTGCTAGCCGAATGGGAATGACCTCACCGACAGCTTTAAAACGTCCTTTCTGCTGGAATGAATGACAGGGTGGCAAAGAACCCAAAGTGAGAAGTACGCATTTCTGGACTCTTGCAAGGGAATCAGCAGGATAGGACTGAGGGGAGCATGACTTAAATAGCATTGGGAGCCACAGGTAGGACTGCTATTTGTAGGGGGAGAGACACTCAGGGAACAAGATTCTGGAGGCTCAAAGGGCCAGGAAACTCAGGATTTGCTTCCATGTGAAGTTTGGTTTAGATCTGGGCAGGCCTGTAGCTAGGGTTTTATATAATTTGGGTGGCCTTTAAATAAGTCAGGGGGCACCTCACTTAAGGGAATGCCACAAATTAAAAATTGGAAGTCAGGGGGTCTGGGCTGGATGGGAAGTCGGGGGGCTTGGTTGTAAGTCGGGGGGCCGGGCCCCGAGAGGCCCCACTGTGGCTATGGGCCTGGAGCTGGTTGATACCTGAGGGCCTCTCAGCCTCCCTGAACACATCGGAAGACAGGAGTTTCTCCCGCTTGAGGAGGGAGGGGGCGGGACTTCTGTCCCAGAAGAAATGCTGAGGGGAGCTGGTGGAGATCTAAAACGAGGAAAGAATTCAGATAACCATTTCATGTGTTGCCTCCCTAATTCTACAGACAGACTCTCACACTCTCTCCCTCTCTAGGAATGCCATGTCAGTGAGGGCAAGTGATAACCAATAAAACCTAAAACCAGATGTGCATAGCAAAAGGGGCAAAATGATCAGGAAGAGAATACAACAGGTATAGAGAACACAGTGTAGGGCAAGCCCAAGCCTGACACACATGCATGAAGAAAAAAGGGGTAACGAATAATCAAGTCAGCTTCCATCTAGGTTCCCTCAGCACAACTCGCTTTATTTATACTTATATTTATACAATATTATACAATATTTATTTATACTTATATTTATACCCCGCCTACCCTGCAAACAGGCTCTGGGCAGCTTACAGAAGACAGCAGAGTATGCCGAATTATCATAAAACCATAAAATATTAAAATAATATAAAACATTCTTAACATTACAACAATAACATTTAAGGTGCTTGCAGTATTAACATAGATGGCGTGACTTTCCATTCCAGCAACCTCCTGATCTTACAGCCAGTCCTATGGTCCAGATATTAAATGGCGTAGTCCAAAGTGGGCCAGTCCCATTCCAGATGTTCAATGGAATAGTTGGTGGTAATGGTGGCAGCAGCGGCTCCTATTTGAAAGCCTGGTGGAAGAGCTCCATCTTGCAGGCCCTGTGGAACTGTACAAGGTCCCGCAGGGCCCTGATCTCCTTGTGTGTGTGTGGATGTGTGTGTGTGTGTGGATGTGAAGGTGGATGTGCTTACATGCCTGGAAGTCATGGTGACTTCTGGTGACCCCAACTGGGGTACAGACATTTTTTCAGAAGGGTGGATTGATATGTCTGCCTCTGTGTCCTGGCCCTGGTATTCCTTTGGAGGACCCCTTCCAAGTACTTCCCAGGGTCGGCCCTGCTTAGCTTCCAAGATCTCACGGGATTGGGCTTGCCTGGGCTGTCCAGGTCAGGGTGGAACTAACCTTTTAAACTGCTGCAGAAGCATAATTTGGATTGGGACCATGGTGCAGAAGGAAAGGGGCTTCAGTTTCCTCCCTGCACAAATTCCCCAACCCAAAACAGTCTTAGGGAGGTTATCTGCCTTGAATTTCAGTGTGGGGAAATTGCCCCTGATTTGTAGCTGTCATTGTCCAATCCGGGCAAAGTAATCACAGGTTATATGTCTTCTGGGTTTGCTCAAGGTTCTCTCAAGCCAACAGATATCAGGAGTTCTGGGTCTGGAGCTCTGAGCAATTTTTCATGGAATCATAGAGTTGGAAGGGGCCATACAGACCATTTAGTTCAACCCCCTGCCCAATGCAGGACCAGCCTAAAGCATCTCTGACAAATATTCGTCCAGCCTCTTCTTGAAAGCTGTCAGTGAAGAGGAGCTCACCACCTCCCTAGGCAGCTGGTTCCACCTTTGAACCACTCTGATTGTAAAAAATGTTTTTCCTAATATCCAGCCATTACCTTTCTGCATGTAACTTAAGCCTGTTGCTTCGGGTCCTCTCCTCTGCTGCCAACTGGAACAGCTCCTTGCCCTCCTCCAAATGACAGCCTTTCAAATATTTAAGTATTTCAAATATTTCAACATTTCAAATAATTAAATATTTAATTTAGTTAATTCTCCAGGGCACTGGGTAGGGATGAGTGTAATGGGACAGTGACATGTGTGGAGAGCTGCTGTTTGTCCTGTGGGAAAACTTACGAGTAATGATGAGCTGCACATAGAACAGCACATAGGGCACGAGGGCAAGTAAAAGTTCCCAGGGGTTGCTTAATATTGGGAACATGTTGGGGGGGGGATTATTATTATTTTTAAATGGCTAGGAGCTCTGACAAAAAAAGCTCCCAGAACACATCTGCTTTAACAAGATCTGGCCAGTAAAACAGTAAATCACCGAGTACAATTAAACAATATTTGTTAGGTTTTATATTGCTATGCGTAAAATTCAATTATTAACAAGATTACAACAATATCACTATAGTATAAGCTATAAAACTTAGCAGTACATACAAAGTAATACAGTTACTAGTTACAGAAACAATTAAGACAAACGACAGAGTTTTAGTACACCGTCGGTTTGCGTGTCCTTCATCAGGTTTGTCATTCTGTTATTGTTTCTTCGCAAGCATGAAGTGCTGCAAGCCATCTTTCAAAAGGCTAGTTCTTATACAGATTTTGATGTACACTACCGCGCTAAGATTCTGGTGACTGGGGAGCTCCTTTAGCAAGCTCTAATGTGACTGGGTCTACAGCATATTGTGATTGGCTAAGCCTCCCTCAGTGAGGGAGTAGGTATAAGAACTAGCATTTCGAAATATGGCTTGCAGCACTTCATGCTTGTGAAGAAACAATAACGGAATGACAAACCTGATGAAGGACACGCAAACGGACGGTGTACTAGAACTCCGTCGTTTGTCTTAATTGTTTCTGTAACTAGTAACTGTATTACTTTGTATGTACTGCTAAGCTTTATATCTTATACTGTAGTGATATTGTTATAATCTTGTTAATAATTGAATTCTATGCATAGCATATTAAAAACTAACAAATATTGTTTAATTGTACATGGTGATTTACTGTTTTACTGGCTATTATACACCGTGGTCCTGTTGTAATATAACCTATTAACAAGACCTGGGGCAGGCCTGGAAACAATATAAAGCCCTTGATTCCAAGGGCTGAATTTAGATGACTTGTTTGATGTTAGTGTTCCACAGTCTGTGCAGAAACAGACACCTGGTCATGGCGGGGGGGAAATGGTCTTGTGAATTTGCCTTCAGCTGGCCAGGCTCATACTCAAGTCATGTGGGGGTAGGGGTACCAATGGAACACTATGTTGGCCTTATACTTTTAGATGCTTGATGGAATAGCCAGTAAAGGTTTGCCAACTATCAGGAGACAAAGGGAGGAGGACATGGGGGGGTGGGGTTTGCTGTTGGCAATGGTGTGACATCACTTCTGAGGAAAACCCTTAAGTGACATCATGCCCCTCTAGGAATCTTTGAGAACTCTATGGTAAAACCATAGTATCAAGGATTACTAAAGAGGACTGATGTTACTTCCTGGGTTTTCCCTGGAAGTGATGTCATGTCAATGGCCCAATGTCCATTTTTTAAAAAATAATTCTCCTGCCAGCACCCCAAAGAGCAGCACAAAAGAGGAGCTGGGGCTGGGGTGTCCCCCACTCCAACCAGGGGCATAACAACCCTAACCCAAAAGGAACCAAAAACCTGCAATTTTTAAAAATGCCAACATCCCCTCCTCCATCATAAATACAAAATGCATCCGATACAAATCTAGCTTTTTGCCTATGGAAGAACGGTGTAAAGAAATCAGTTTGCCTACAAAAGTAAATATGGGCTGCGGTCACACGGAACAGTAGCCTGCATCCGATACAAATCTAGCTTTTTGCCTATGGAAGAACGGTGTAAAGAAATCAGTTTGCCTACAAAAGTAAATATGGGCTGCGGTCACACGGAACAGTAGCCACACAAGTGAGACGGAAGACAGGCGGAGTTTCCGGGCGCGATCTCACCAGCACATCTGGGAAGCGTAGCACTCCCGTG